CTACGTGGCCACTGAGGCCAACACTGCTGATGTGTTCACCAAGGCGCTTCAGCCTCGTGACCATCAGCGCTTCTGCACTCTACTAGGCCTTGTGCCTACTGGACCTCACTTGCTTACCTCTTGACTTTGCTTGTACTGTGATCACTATATATATATACCTGCATGTTTACTCTTGCTAGGTTGTGATCACTGTATCTCTTGCTCTGTTATAAACCTGCGTGTGAACTGGTCTTGTGACCACTAGTTTGTGCTCGGAATTTGTGTGGAATCCTCGAGATCCACCCTGAGCTTGCTTTGCCTTGCTTTGCCCTGACTGGTCGTGTGACCCCCAGGTCTCCCCACTTCGCCTATGGGGGTGTGTCAAACATTATATGTTTATATGGTTGTAGGCTGTAGTGGGTTACGCCTTAGGGGGTACACTGGATTAGGGTTTCCTATTTGTATCCAGCCTTCTGTTAGTACAGCCATTCCAGTCTGTTATTTCGACAGGGAAGAGGTTCTCAGGTCGCCATTCCGCAATGCTTGGAGGTCTTTCTCCATAGTTGACAGTCGCGAAAACAACTGCTCAAGTGCAGCAGTGCTGATCGTCGTCGCCTCATTTGTCGCAGCCGGGTTGGTTTGTCCTTCGGCCGTCAGATTCGTTTGGCCTCCGGATCCTCCGGCCATCTTGGTCTTGGAGCGTGTGCCGCTCGCCAGTTCTTTGTTCGGCGAATTTTACGGAAGTGAAGTTACGAAGAATCCCTGAGTAGCTCTCATACCATGTTACAATCCTAAACAGGATTTTAGCCAGGGATCGGCTCAGGGTTGATCGCAGGTAGTGTTGCAGCGGAAGTAGTGAACTCAGGTCAGAGTGAATGTAAAATGACTGAGATGATAATAACATGCATATATCCGGTTTATATAGACAATACAAATGAATACGAAAGGACCTAGAATAGCCATGTACTCTAAGGGGTACATTCTCTTATTCCAGCGAAGTTCAAAACAGTGCGGCGCGGGAACCCGTTTTGTAAACTGTTCCCGCTCTTCGTTTCGAATGCTTCTGCCTGCATCGGTTTTGGTATGACGGTTGCTGGAGTCGCTTCGACTCTTCTGACTCCTCGACTTCGTACTCGGTAGAGTCGGCTCCTGCAGCGTACAGGAATGCCTTCTCATTGAATTTCATATTGTAACAGTACCTGTTGACAGCACACTTTTAGCATTACTATGCGCATTGCTTAGTGCAACCTGCGGGTTGTATGAGGACTACTTGAGGAATGCTTGTGCGCATTGTCTAGGGTTTGATCGGGTATTGATCATACATTGCTAATACTCTGTATTGTCCACTTCGGTTTGTTTACAAGACCGCCACCTAACAGTGAACAGTTCAGAGTTTTGCAACCCTAATACTCAAAGTACGAAATGTGCTGTTATCGAGTGTGCCTATGTGAAAGATGGCCTCCAAAAGTACACTGAGCAAGTAAACTGGAAACCGCGAACACGTCTATAAGATCTGGTGAGGTGTACGTGATGCACTGTCGTGCATTGGTTGTGCTTGTAACGCGTACAAAGTGTACCTCTCAGAGGGCATTGGTGTTGTCGATATCCAATCCCATAATTAAGGGGTTTGGTATACATACCATACTAGCTACATAAGCATACACGCCATACAGAGGCGCGCATTACAAAGGATCTTCCAGCCGCATACACACCAGGCGGCTGTCCCTAGAAGGGCGTCTGTGGTGAGGAGAGGGGTTGGGAGGTAGAGGCAAGTTACCACCGACGGGCAACTACTGGCGAGGAGCAACAGCAATCGTAGGTGCGACAACAATCGCCGGCCCGGGCGACATGTCCTCCATCCCATCCTCATGGAAGAGAATGAGCCATCGTTCACCCAGCAACCGCATTTGTCAGATGACGTATAACTCCGTGTTGCCCGCGATTTTTATGACGTTCGATGAAGGCGCGAATGCTATCGTTGTCGGAGCGAGTTTATCATATCAAACTCTCAGCCGGCCGCTTCGCTGCCCACCGTGCCTATCGCGCTCAAAACTTCACAGCTTCGGGTACTCCGTCTTTGCTGCTACACCATCCTCGGGTAGACCGTTGAATTAGGATAACCACCGCAAACTGCCACAATTTTTTCAGCTCCGACTTTTTCGGCAGTGTAAACGTTGCCGATGGTCCGTTTTTGTCGGGGCCGAAACAGTGTCACGCCACTCCACGCGCCACTTGAAACTTTTTCTTTTACGCCCAGCTGTCGAACCAGCGCAATATCCGCGCTTTTTAACCAGCACAGGGCTAAACACAAGGTCCCACCTTATTCGTCCAGGGCCAACAGGACTCATAACGCCTTCGACACACCTGGTATAAGGTACGTGAGCCGTTCAAAAACCTCGGCCAGTAGTGGTACCCATCCGGCTACCGCCGCTTAGCCGCAAATTTTTAGGCATCAGATTGAGCGTTTCCCTGTAGGTCGTTTTCTCACCTCCTGAAGCCGAAACATGTTTCTCTCGCCGGACCTGTATTCGTCGCAACTCCGTATATTGTAGCCGGTAGAACCCCCGAAATTCGCGTGTCTAGACACTGCGCCGAATCGCTGTGCCGTTGGTGTACTGCCCCATCTGCGACACAACTTCCTCTGGCCTGAGAAATTTGCGCCGCCTAAAGTACAGTATCGGCTGCCACTACTGCTCCAAAATTTTCACCGATTGTTGGAGCAGGCACAGACGGGACCCTAACGGAAGAGTTTGGTCGTAGGCGGTTTTTTTTTCTGATCTTTTCGGTAGTTTGAAGAACAACTTCCGTCTCACACTGTGGCGCACCTGCCGAAAAACACCCACAACGCACCCTTCTGCAGCAACACTTGCCGCACCCGGACGGGATGGCGGTAGACCCCCGCTTTCTCTAGGCAGTCGCCACGCCGTAACTTTTCTGACGCAAATCACCATACGCCCGGCTTGCTCGACCAGCAGTCGTTTTCCACGTGCTGCTACCCGAAATCTTCGCACGCAGTGACGATGCGCCACTTGCCGAAGACCCCCAACAGGCTCATGCTCAACGTGACGCAGAAGCTCGGCGCCACTTGCTGCATGCAGTCCACTCTGAAAATCTCATGTGCAGTTGTCAACCGCGTGCCGCGTGAGGTATTACACTCTAAAAGGCAGGGTGAGCTAGAAAAGTAGCTTTGATACCAATTGTTATGAGTTGTACTAAACAGAGTGCGCGGAAGACTTTATAAAAAAAATTATGATTACAGAATGACGAAACAATGAAGAAAGCGAGCAAATATAGGGCGGAATCTAGCTAGGCGGATACCTCGTGATGTGCGTGGTTCGAAAGTGTCGCAATTGGTGCGGGGCGACTCGGAACTAGCTCGGTGCAACAGTGTAGGCGGAGCCACACTAACTATAAGTGCTCGGGACTGTCCTCGCTAAGGGCGGCTTCAGTGTAATAAATTGCATATTCATTCCAGCTGCGCTGTGCGTTGGCAAGTGGTTGCAATGCTGGACCATGATTTCCATGAAATTCGTCTGACCGCTTGATTGACCGGTTGTGCTTTCAACCGAAATTGGGCCTGAACTTTGTTCACTGGTTCCTTCATTTCACCGTTTCTTTCCAGCGGTGAAAAGCGCTTGACTAGAACCCCAGATGCAGACGAAAAACAGGGTATTGTAGGAGGGAGGGCTGTTGGTCCGACCCACGCGACTGTCATTGACGGAAAAAGGACAGTAAGGGCTCCGAGCTGACTGACACGCTGACAGACAGCCCGTCAGCCCGTCAGGCTCTGGCGAATCAGCAGCCGTGAATCCGACGCTTAGGATGGGTAAAAATCTGTCAAGAATCACCAGGAAAGCAAGCATCTGTGTAATAAGCAAGCAAATCAGAAATGTGTACGGTAGGTGTTGAAAGATCCACACTTGGCTTGTATCCAATGGTACTAATGTTGTATCCATGTTTCTCTAGGGTTCAGTCTTTCAGATCTTGCTGGCTTCGAAGTACAGTACAGCTCAGCAAAGAGAGACGCAACTTGGCAGGCCTGCATATCACCAACAATGGACACGATTGAATGAAAGGACCCGCTCGGACGGGAAGAACCACACAGCAGCGGCTCAACGAGGACCTGCAGGCCAACACGGCAAGAAGCACAGCAGCACAGCTTTGGGAACTGGGATCATGGGATGGGATGATGGGGGGGGTGACGAGTCGGAGTTTGCCTGCGCGATTCGCATGACCGCCATGATTGACGGAAAAAAGTCGTCTGTAGTGTACATGATACAGTACAGTATTATCTAGTAATACTGTACAGTTCACTAGTGGCTGGCTTTGTCTAGAGAAGTTCTCCTACGCTTCTCGTTTTTTTCTGCGGTGAAAAGCGCTTGACTCGAACCCCAGCGGATGCAGACGAAAAACGCGGTGGGAGAACTGATGGCCGGACCCGCACGACTGTCGGGCTTCCAGAAACAGACGATCTGAGGCTCGGCCTTGACCGCTAGCAGTGCCAGGCACCCGGGCGAATCACCAGCTGTGAATCCCCCATTCTGACGCATAAACAAATACGACCACGCATAGTCATTCCTGGTGTACACCAGGAATGACCATGCAAGTTGTGGTGCAGCAGACGACCAGGCAAGCTGCGCATATGGATAAATATGCACAGCAAGGGCGGTCAAGAATCTGACTCGTGACCCCTCAACTTGTGTGGGATATGTCCATCACCCTTGCTGGCCGGCAAACTAGCTGGCTCTGAGTCCCAGAAGACGTGAAGAGTCTTTCGTATATAAGAGAAGCTGGCATTCCCGGAATGCCAGCATACTTCTGCAAAAATCCAGAATCTGAAATCACCTTACAAACTTTGAAAGCTGTGGCTGTGGCTTTCAGTGCCAGCTGTTTATCTTATCTTGGTTCAGTGCCAGCTGTTTATCTTATCTTGGTTCAGTGCCAGCTGTTTATCTTATCTTGGTTCAGTGCCAGCTGTTTTCAACTCATCTCGGCTCCGCGCCACCACGTCTGACAGGAGAATGAAGGCCTGGTCCGTATCCATGTGCTTCTGCCTCGCCGTTGCCATCCACCAAGCTTCGGCTATCAGTGGAGTGTCGTCCGGTCCGACTGTTCTCAAGGTTGGAAGGAAAGAGATGAAACTCGACCTTCCTGGAACCGTGGCCAAGGCCCAAGTACAAGCTTCTGTGCCCAGGACGCCGAAGACCTTCCGGAGTCCACTCGGGTAAGACTTGAACATCTGTTTCATGAGCCCTGCCCCTGCATCACTACCTGCTCATTACTTTCCCTTTCTTTCTTGTTTAAGCAAGATGAGCTTACCCTTTGTGCTTGCACGTGTGGCTTGCTGTGGCAGATGGAACAGCTGGAACCACTTCCAGTGCAATATCACAGAGGACATAGTCAAGACCGCAGGTGAGAGGTTGCCACCATCATACTAAACCCATTCCCGAGTATCGTCTCAAAGACTCCATTCAAGCAGTCCATGCCAGCCGTTCTTGTCAGTACGCCAGCTTACCTGTTATCACTCCCTAATCTTTTTCTTATTGTGCCTTGCAGCGGACAGGCTCGTGTCATCTGGGCTAGCCGCCCTTGGCTACGTCTACGTCAACATAGGTGAGACACGTCTACCCTTTTTCTAAACCTGTACACTCTGCATTCTGCATGTTGATAAGCTCGTAGTATCTTCTGGGCTGTTATAATGGCGTGCTTCCTGCATCAATCGCTAATCATTCAACGTTTTCCGCCAATTTTCCAGCAGTTTAACTTCGTGTAATTCAAGTCGTGGCCTCTTCTGACCAATCTTGTTTCTTGCTTTCTCTTGCAGATGATTGCTGGCAAGCTGACTCGAGAGATTCTCAGGGTCGCCTGGTGGCATCTCCGGTCTCCTTCCCTTCGGGCATCAAGGCGCTAGCAGACTATGTGCACAGCAAGGGGCTCAAGCTGGGGCTCTACTCCGATTCCGGGTGAGTTGGGGGGGGGGGGAGGTGGCTGTGTACAGAGTTGAGCTGAGCACGGCGGCTCAGGAAGGGGAGGGAGATATAGTGAGCCCTGTATGTGCCAGCTGTGAAAGGCTGTTCGCAAATCTGCATACTTATGCTCTCTAGTCTCCCCTCCTCCGACCTTTTCCCTTCCTCTGTTCCATCAGGAAGCGCACGTGTTCGGGCAAGCCAGGGTCGCTGGGGCACGAGGCGATAGACGCCCTCACCTTCGCTGAATGGGTGAGTCACGAGGCTCAATCAGGTTGCTGAATCTTCTGCATTGGGTATCCCTTGATTCTCTGATATTCAACCGATGCCTTCTCACATCCGCCTTGCGATGCTGTGACTGTTCCTGTGTGCTGCCAGGGAGTGGCCTATCTCAAATGCCACGTCAGCTTGCCATGATGGTAGCATCTAATGCCTACCTTCTCATATCCACCTGCCTTGCTGTGATGTGACTGTTCCTGTGTGACTACAGGGAGTGGACTATGTCAAATACGACAGCTGCTACGACGATGGAACTACCACCAAGAGAGGGTAAGTCCCGTCTGCCTCGCTCTTGCTGACCCGTGTTGGCAAAGACACCTCGCTCTTTATGTGTTTTGACCCTTTCTCCTTTTGTTCTTACACCGTCCATTTCTTGCACCTGACCTTGAGCTCTGTATCTCTTCCCATGGCTTCCTTTTGTATCACCCTTTGCTGCTGGATGCCCATCATCATCAACCCTCAGCCAATCAGCCATGCGCAATGCGTTGGATGCCGCTGGAAGAGACATCTCGGTCTCCATGTGTGAAGGGTGAGTCGAGAGGACACCTCACTTTTGAGAATTCTCAAAGTTAGATTCACTTAGAGAGAACACCTCATGATGTGATGGTGCCATGTGGTGACATCTCTGTCTCCATGTGTGAAGGGTGAGTCGAGAGGATGGCACATGAGAGGGCAGCATGTGCTGCAAAGCATGTGGAGATTCGAGGATCGCACTTGGAGCTGATGAGTTTGAACAGGAAGAGTGAATGTGCGGATCATGTTCATTGCTCCACCGATGAATCTGTTCTTGTCTCTGTCTGCCACGTGTACTGACGTGTCATTCTTCCACGTATGTTGCCACGTGTGCTGCTGCTTGCAGGGGACAGGACAGCTCTGCTCTATGGGCGTATGGGCTGGCAGATCCCTGGCGCACCACCCTCGGCACTGATGACACGTGGAGGAGTGTGACTTGGGTTTCAGACACCAGCAACAAGTGGGCCAAATACGCCGACCCTCGCAACTGGAATGGTGCGTGCAGCCACACACACACACACACACACACACACACACACACACACACACACACACACACGAGTTGACTTATTAGGGCCTGCAAGTGTTGTGAGTCATGTGTTGAAAACTCTCTCCTCACCCCCCACTCACTCTTCTCCTTCCCTACCCCCACTATCGACCCCCCTCCCTCATCAGACTTGGACATCCTTCAAGTGGCAAAGGGCGGCATGGGAGAGACAGAGCACCATGTGCACTTCAATCTGTGGGCCATCATGAAGGTAAAATACACTTCCTGCATTCAGTGCCTGCATGGCTGTATGCATACCTATCCATGCTTGTCACTCCCACCCCTTCTGCGCTGCATTGTCTCACAACCTCCCACCTTCTCACCGCCCACCTTCTCACCTCCCACCAGGCGCCACTCCTGGCGGCCTGCGCTCTCTCTGCTGAATCGCAGCCAGCCATGACCATTCTCAGCACCAATGAGGCCGTTTCCCTCAACCAAGGTACGCACGCAAGCAGGCTGGAAGATGCTGTGACAGGAGGATGCAGCTACAGGTGCTGTGCTGGCATGGATTGCCCTTATAGTTTGGCTATTTGTTGCATGCTACCTTCTTGAGCTCTGCTGACACGTGCCACATTCTGATTGGTGCAGATTCATTGGGAGTGCAAGCACAGGAGGTGCAACTATCCAAGGCATCCCCAGTGAAGGTGAGAACTGCCGCATCAAACTCTCTCTTGCACTCCATTTCACGTCATGCCTTGCGTGCCGAGGGACAGCAAATCCAGATTCTTAATTTCAGCTGACTTGTATGAACTTCCTTGGAATCACACTCCTTGATTCTTGTCCTTATTTTGCGCTGCCTGTTTCCGAACCTGCAGGTCTGGGTGGGATCTCTATCTGAGGGTCGGAAAGTGGTGGCACTGGTGAACCGTGGTGGGACGAGCGAGAATGTGTCCGTCAGTTGGAGAAAGCTCGGGCTGAATCCTGAGCAGCAAATGCACGCACGAGATCTGTGGAAGGTATGTTTCTGAACCAGAGATACTTCCTTGCCTCCCCTTCTCACTATTTATATTTCTCACACATGCAGCCTTATGCAAGCACATGCTCACAGACCTACACACCGTACAGTAAATTTGTCCTCATATGTGTGTGTCTCCTGGTGTCAATTCTGTGGTGCAGGAATCGGCCATTGACTCTGCCGATTCTGAAGACCTGACTGCCCAAGTTGCAAGCCATGGTGTGCGATTATTTGTTCTCTGGCCCGCAACAGATTCCAATCTGAAACAATAAAATCCAGTGGGAGCAGCAATGGCCGCCATAGCAGCTTGTAGGTCCTCAAGGCATGTGCCTCTTCTCCCAATGGTGTGAATGGTGGATATGACACCGTACGGTGTCTTGGGTTTTTCTGCCTTGTGGTAATAGTCTTGTGATAATAGCCGGCCTTGCATATTTATGGGTCTGAATATTTCAATGAAAGTGCATATCTGCGTGTACAATTTTTGTTCCTTTCCACTACCCAAGTGTAACCTTTGTCTTGAGTGCAATGTTACCTGCTGCTTATGCTTTCGCCACCCAACCCAACTTGCGGACCATTGTTTCCAACCAACTAACCTCTAAGGGCGCGTGTCTTTTGGTGTAGAGGTCCAAAAAGTGGTCGAACTTATGCTGGTAACCAGCTTCGCCGATTTCGTTTAGAGCTGTTGACGACGATCGTGTGTCCAAGCTCAAAGTTGAAGAAAGCAGCAGGACACTGAACTTGGGTCGACCTCGCATCACTAAGCCTCGAGCACGTTTCTGCAAACGTGTGTAGGGATTGCGTGGCTAATGTTTCCCGAACCTAACCTGCACAGGAGGGCGTTTGTGTGGCAGGTGGTGTGACAGGTGGCAAAGGTGGCAACAGGTGGCAACATGTTACGAGGGAGTTTTTTATGATGCGCCAATTCAAGAGATTAAATAAATATTGTTTCGTAGTTTTACGACCTGTTTAGCGTAGTGGTTCACATGTCGAGCATGCGATTGGGAGGTCGCAGGATCGATCTGGTTGTGAACTAGAAGTCGAATTGCATACATGTATGCATCTATTTTATAATTTTACGTTCTGTTTGGCGTAGTGGTTCACATGTCGCGCTTGCGATTGGGAGGTCGCGGGACCGATTCGTTCTCGTAAACTAGAAGTCGTGTTGTTTGGATGTATGCATTTCTTTAACGTCTTAAACAACTTTATGTTTGGTAGAAAGCACCTGGCAAGTATCGATCCCCCGACCTTCTGCATAATAACGTGAATCAGAGTCTTTTTGGACAAATTCAGGGTACTTCGCAATTTGGCTACTTTTCGGATATTTTTAGGCCCTTCAATTTTGGGTGAAGACTCTTTTTGAACATTTTCGGGGTGTCAAAAGACACAAAATGGACCACCTAACTGGCCGGCTGCATTTTGGACCGACACTTTTTGGTGGAAGTGCCCACGGACGAAAAAGCTGCGAGCTTCGCGACGGTAACGAACCACGTCTTGACAAGTTACAAAATTTGATTTGTTGACAAACTTCACAATATAGACATGGTAACCTACGAAATTGGGCGCGACTCGGATTTTGCTGTACATATTCGAACTTTGAAAGTCGAGCATTTCTTGTGCCATGTGCTCCACGTCAAAGGTGAACACGCGACTCGACAGTAAAATGATGAGATAGTCGACTACAGGTCGACCAGTGTTCATCTGCCAAAATTCGACTAAAAAACGTGAACTTTGGCCTAAATTTCAAAAGACACGCACCCTAACACATGAGACGGATCAACCAGGATGTATGACGCGTCAACTCCCACCAAAATGGCAAGATCGGGGAAGGATCGGCGCTGCATACCGATAGTGTCAAGCTCGATCGCCACACCGGTGTTCCCAACTGCATATTTGCAATCGTGGGGCTCCATCGAGCCACATGTGACAGGATCGAGGTTTTGTGGGGCAAAATTTCCCGATCGCCATGTGGAGGCACATCGATCGCGCGAGCCATAGCTGACATGATTTTTGTGACCAGTTTACTGTACATTGTCGAATACTGGCGAAAAAGGGATACCTTGTGATTGGCAAAGTCGTGAAAACACTGTACACTCTGCACACCGATCGCCTGCACGATCGATCGCCGAAATTTCGTGGGAGTTGACGGCCCTTAGGCGAGTTCAAGCCTGGTCAAAGATGCTATTGAAGAGATGTACCCCTTATTTTGGTGCAGGGTGGAGTCGCTATCGTCCATTCGATTTGTGAGTTATGTCATCTCTTGTACTTGCGCAGCCTTTAGTCTAGACTATGAAGACTATTTAGAGTCTTAGTAGTATGCATAAGAAGCTCTGGCTTCAACTATGTGAAGGAATTTGCTGGAAAAAACGCCAAGGCAGAAAGTTCAAGTAATTTCATTGAAGAAGGCATACAAAAACAGAAAACACAAAGCAAGTTATAAGCAAAAGGATTTCTGATTTCGCCCTCGCGCCGCGCCTAATATCGAGCTGAGTTGTACTCGGCTCAATTCCCAAATCCAACCATGCACCGAACGCGCCTCGAGTTCGAATTTCAGACTTCCTTGGACGCGCCTTTGACCCGGCGTGACTTCTCATCACGTCACAAGATCCAAATCTGCACATTTCAGCCACTTTCTTCACCATTTTCATACGCTTCCTCTTCTTCTCTTTGTTTCCCATCGTATATCCTGCTGCCGCCGTATTTCTCCTTCCACCGTCCCAACATAGCTAGTCTCTCTTCTTCGTAGGTCCTCGCTTTCCCTTAGTCTCATCTCGTCAAGCCGGATTCTTCTTAGGTCGATGTAGATCGCGTTAGGTCGTTCTAGGTCGTGGTTAGCTAACCACCTTCAACAATCTCCCCTGTGGTTTGCTAACCACCAGCCTATGCATTCTCCCACGCACGTTTTACCTTGAACCATCTCTAGGCCTGCTCCACACTCCCCTGCAATTCAGCCAAGGTACGCATCCCAACCTCTCTCTTGCAACGCTCAAAATTTTCCCTTGGTAACACCTTAGTCAGAAAATCTGCTGCTTGTGCCTCCGTACGTACGAATTCAAACTTGAACTCCTTGCTACTCACCTTTGAACGCACCCAATGATACTTCACATCCATATGCTTGGTCCTCCCGTGCCAATTGTCGTTGTGAGCCAAGTCGATGGCAGATTTGCTATCCGTGCGTATCACCGTCGGCCCTTTCACCTTGATTTCCATCTCCTTGAGTAGCCGTCTCAGCCAAACCCCCTCTTGGCATGCGTAAAACAGAGCCATGTACTCCGCTTCCGCACTAGAGAGCGCTATGTCACTCAACTTTTTCGCTTGCCACATGATTGCTGTCCCGCCGAGCAGAAACACGTAACCGTATGCTCCCTTCCTTGTTTGCCTGTCGGATGCGTGTGAAGCATCCGCATACCCCACTAACTCCAAGGTCTCTTCACCTCCTTCGAATAACAGCCCCTCATCTTCATGTTGCAGTAGGTAGTCGATAGTCCTCCTCATCTCTCTCCATTTTCTCTCCCCTTGTTGCTGCACTTGTTGCCCAAGGTAGCTAGCTGCGTATGCCATGTCAACGCGCGTGCATGAGACCGGATACATTATGGACCCCACCATGGACTGATATACTTGCCGAGCTCTCTCCTTGCTGCCCCATTGGTTGACATCTTCCTCCCGCTCACTGTCATTTTCAGCTACCCCACTCAATGGTGTAGAAATCGCCTTCGTGTAGCCGTTGCCAAACTTCTGCTGCACCCTGCTGCAATATTTCTGCTGGTATAGGAACATCTTCTTCTCCTCCTTACGCCGCTCCAGATTCATGCCGAGAAAGAGTGTGGTCCTCGGAATCTGCTTGACTTGAAAAACTTCCGCAAGGTGAGTGCACACCTTCTCTACCTCCTCCTCTAACGCCCCTGCCACCAAGATGTCGTCCACGTATAGCACCAAAAACACCTTCTCTTTCCCTTCTCCCTTCTCCCTATCACACTCGCTTTTCTGAAATCCCCCTTGCAGTAGCCGCTCATCCATCGCCATGTACCACTCCCTAGGACTTTGCTTCAGCCCATACAGAGCCTTCTTGAGCTTGCATTTCCTGCCTGAGCCGTCATCATGCCCTGGTGGTTGTTCGAGGTAGATGTCCTCCTTCAACACCCCATACAAAAACGCGTTTTTAATATCCAGCTGCACCATGAAGTATTTTCTTGCTGCTATCACCTTGAGAAAGACCCGCGCCGTTGCCAACTTGCTCACTGGAGCGTAGATCTCATTTTGTTGGTAATCTTTCCCCTCCACCTGAGTGTAGCCCTTGGCTACAAGCCTTGCTTTGAACCTTTCCAGCTGCCCCATATCTCCGGTCTTGATTTTAAAAATCCACTTCACCCCCACGGCTTTCCTCCCTTCCGGCATAGGCACGAGTTCCCATGTGCCCCTTTCAGCCAATGTGTTCAACTCCTCCTCAATTGCCGCTTTCCACTGCTCCCTTTCTGGACCCTCGAGCGCCTCCTCGATGCTCACTGGTTCTTTGGGCAGGTTGTGACTCACTTTCCCTTCATTGGAGACTAGGTCAGTTGCTGTGGCAGAGAGTAGGAGATGGATGTCCTTCTAGCACGTCATCAGCAGTTGCGCATACCGAGGGTTTGGTTTCTTCACCCTCTTTCCTTTCCCCAACTCCTCTGCAGATGATTCGACCTCTTCCTCACTGGAATCCGTCAATGCTTTCCCTTCTCCATCCTTTACTTCCCTTCCAATCACGATGGCGCCCTCCTTCCTTTAGCAAGTCCTCTATCTCTCTCATCTTGGCGTTGCTGTCCTCACTGTCTAGGAGCTTCCAAGGATCACTATCTCCTTCAGTTGCTGATTCTTCATCTCCCTCTTCTCCAGCCACTTCATCGTTGCCACCCTCAGCTACTTCCAAGCATGGCTGCTCCCCTGCTTTTTCCACTCCCTTGCTTTCATCCACTTCCCTGGTTGGTGCCTTCTCCCACACCCAGTCAACCAAATCTGCCCGGTCTATCTTATCTATCTCCTCATCCCCTTCATCACCAACTCCCTCACTCTCCTTTTCTTCCAAGAGATCATCCACCTTGTCCGATGTAGTTGCTGTCCCTGCTGCTGCAATCTCTTTTTCTACTCCCTTCCACTGCAGGTAGTTCACCTCCTCGTAGAAAATAACATCCCGGGTGATTGTGACCTTCCCCGAAACCACATCCTTGATCACCCACCCCTTGCTCACTGGGCAGGTACCAAGATTGATCCCCCATTGAGTCCTTGGCAGCAACTTATGATC